GGGCTAAGTATGAAATATGGAAATATAAAAGCAGATTTGTTATAAGCGACTTTATTAACAGCTACAGAACTTAATGACAGAAATATCTACTCTTGTCTTATACAGAGCACTTAATGGTATTAACGTTTAATAACATGAACATATCATAAGAAAGAACGTTATTTGTTACGAAAAATGAAGAAATTGTGTTGAACGTAATGATTGCTTGCGTCCTGGGATACGAAGACATCTTACACTTACTACCTCGTTTTATTTACTTAACGAAGCCAGCGTCAAATACAGTAAAGTGAAAAATGAACTTTGAATTAAGATCAAGCGAGGCCTTATAATTCAGCCTATTATCTTGGCATGTAAGTATATAGACTGAGAAAAACCACATAATGTCTCACTGAGGAATTCTTTTCTTCTGACCAAGAGTCTGCCTTGAGGCTCTCGACAGAAGAAACGTGAATTCTGTCTACTGCCAAATGCGGCTTATAATTGGCCTATTTCTTACCACACCCGTGCAAGAACAGTTACAGAATGGTATTTATAACATCAGAAGCGACACAACAGTTTGTGGTTGCCTTAGGAAATTCGGATACTGCATTTTTCAGAATTATATAAATATGTGCAGAGCTTCCGCATTGCACTGAATTTTAAAAAAAAACATTAAATCGAGTAATTTTAATTTTTGGAAATAAGCGTTACCAATATAACGTCATCTCTAATCAACGGAAAGATATGAACGCGGAAAGAATATTGTGTATGATTAAATAAAGTTTTCTGTTACGTAACTTTATTCATTCTTATGCGTGATATTCATTTAAGAAGAATTTTTTAATGTAAAGAAATTGGAAAAAAATATTAAACTTTGTCATCGAAAAAAATTATGAATGACTCCTCAAAGGGTAACTTGGAGACGGTGAAAAATGTAACGAAAGAAGAAATTAAAAGAGGGGAAAATAATTTAATAGATTGCGAAGTTTTCTGAGGATAGTAAAACAGTATGGAGAGTTGTCAATCGAGATCAGCTCATTCTAACGAACCCCACAGATTAGATGTCTCTTCACTACACCTGAAGACAAGGACAGACGATGGACAATGTCCAAAAAACCCAACTATCAAAAGAATTTCATGTTCGGCCTACCCCTTATTTTTTAAAATAAAATTATTAATTTTCAAAAAAATTGCTTATATGATACAGAAAATCGGTATATAGCGTGTAGACATCATTAAGATCTACAAACGTTATTGTTATTAAGTATGGTATACACTGAAAAGTTAGCTCTACAATTCAGTTCTATCAGCAATAAATGAAGATAAACAATTAAAATAATATATGCGGAAAATATATGTGGCTTAGTTGGTGTATAGATAGGTAACCTATAGTTCCTTATGTTCACTACAAATGTACCTAGATCGAATCTCTTCTGTCTTACAGGCTATAATGACAGATGTTTTAAAGGTCAGATTCCGGCGAACATACCAGAAACTCTGCTGTACGTGTAGAATATTTTCTGATTTCTTATCACTTAGAACAGGTAGATTAAGTTAAAATTCACTGATCAAATATGATTTAGATCTATAGAGTGGATCCTAATCGTTACTATGGATTTCCCTATCGAGAAAAACCGCTGCCCGAAGGCGAAATTACGAATGAAGGTTTGTGGACCAGTTTAATGGCCTTTAAGAGTAGAAAAAAATGTGGGTTAATAGGAAGGTAAATTATTATGAGTTAAAGTAGCAATTCGCAGTACATGATCCATCAGAGGATGATATATAAATCGAGGGAGCGATGAGTAATAGCGAGAAATCTGCAGAACTGGAATTCATTATTCGGAAAAGGAATTTCTATACATAGAAATTGTACCCCATGTTTAATTTCTTGTAGCTCGCCAGATTTTACCGTTTGGCCTGTACAGTACATAAATATTTATGAAAACTGGTGGTGTGTCA